GCCTTCCCCCAACACCAGGAACATCACGTCCATTCGCTGAAAGTGAGCACCAGGGAGCAGGGAGGGCCTGAGAGCCGCAGGGAGCTGGTGGCCTCGGCCGGTCACAAGTGGCAGCAGCACTCAGTCTGGTGCCAGGGAGCAAGAGTCACTCACGGCCACTAGAAGAAGCACTTGGCCTGGGGGAGGACGTGGCAGCGCACGAGTCAGCCACGCCCTGCCGGCCCCTCATGGATCCTGGGAGGTTCACACTCATGCAGGACACCTGGCTCTTCCCGCTGTATTTACCTCATCATGTTCACGGTGGATGGTCCCAGTCCGAAAATGTGTCCTGGGTACAGGCTAAGGCAACTCTGACTATATTTTGAAACTCGCTTTTCTGAGAAAAAGAAGAAAGAGAAAGAGAATGAGAGAAATGTAGAAAGAGAGAGAAAGAAAAGAAAAGAAGACAGAAAGGGAAGACGAACTGGTGATTGCTATGACCTCTGAGATGGTATTTCATACATTTGAGGGCAATTATGAAATTACTACTTGAGCTCTATATACTTGTGGCCAAATGTCATGCCGGCTTCATCCCAGATGTGGGTCATCCTTTTAGAGTAAATGGAGACACTGCATCTTACCTTATTACAAAGGCGACGTGTTTTAAAATATCTTTCTATTTAAAATATTTACTTATTTCTAGCTGGTACTACCTTATTAAAACAGGTTAATTCCTAAAAATAGGAATGTCTTGAGCTTAATTCTAATTTAGACAGGCAGGAGCACCACCTTAATGCAGTGGTTCGCGACTAAGGAAAAGTCAAGTCTAATAAGAAACATCAATAAAAAACCAATTGTTTCATTTTCCTCTTGTAGGTATTTATGTGTGTGGGTTTTTTTGTCTCTTCAATGAACCAGAAATATTTTGTTAGTCCTATTAAGAGTATTCTGATATTATATGAAGCATTCTTTTATTTGGTAGGAAGTTTTTATTATCCCTTCAATTATAAAGTTAAAACATGTTAATATCAAAAACAGGCCTTTTTATGAATGCAAGAATTCTTCTGTGTATTCAGTGCAATTGCCTTTTAAAAAAATCTCACTCACACTTCTTAAATTATTCTTGGGTATTTTAATCTTTTGTACTGTCATTAGGATCATCTACAATCACATATTCAAACTAGTGTGGTTTATACATAGAAATGCTACTAATCTAAATGTATATTTAACATTTGAAAGCTACTACTTCTAGTTTTCTCCATCTAATGACTTATTAGACATTCTCTTGGATTTTTCAGGCAGGTGATCACATGAACAGGTTTGAAATGGCAATTTTAATGCTATTTAAAGCTAAATTAAGATATGCCAGAGAATGAAAAATAATGACAGTTGTTTTTTCCAAACCACAAATAGATTTAATTAACTGCTATCTGAAGTATGAATCAAGTAAAATATTTACTTCACAACATGACCGATCATAATTTTCTAAGTGACATATTTTTAGGAATAAACCATTTCTAGCAATTTTTTATTGATCTGAGAGAGGGAGGGGGAGAGAGAGATAGAAACATCAACGATGAATGAGAATCATTGATTGGCTGCCTTCTGCATGCCCCACACTGGGGACCAAGGCCACAACCCGGGCACGTGCCCTGACTAGGAACCAAACCTCGACCTCCTGGTTCATAGGTCGATGCTCAACCACTGAGCCACACCAGCCGGGCTCGAGCAATTCGCCCACCTGGCAGTCCTGAGGCCGTGTGAGGAAGGCTGAAGGAGCCGGCACCTCACTTGCACCATTTCCCCTAGGTTTTTGCTTTGCTTGAATCACCAGTGTCCCTCTGCCGACGCTGACGTAGGCTGGCAGGCGTAAGTTGCCCAAAATTTAGCAGCAGAATTGCAGATGGCACAATTACTCACTCAGCAGCTGGTACCCTCACCTTTCAACCTTAAAACGAGTCTAGGATCCATTTAGTGGAACAGCTGTGTTAATGAAAAGATTCATGTAAAACTCAAAGCCTGCTTAGAAACTGCAGATTCCGCCTTTTCCAGCCAAAACCCAGGAAACAAACCAGACAGGAGTCCCTGACATTTCAAGGGAGATACAGAACCAGCACCCCTGACCCCCATCTAGCACGTTCTCAACTCACCGCCTTGCTTGTCAAGGACGCAGGCGAGGAGGCCACAGCGCCATGACGCTGCCAGATGCGGGAGCAAACAGTTGGATGTGGAGGACGGTTTCCCATCTGTGAGGGGGCCACAATAGTGGCTTGGGCCCGCAGGACTGTTCTGAGGACAGCCGGTTCCTGGTGGGGCCCCTGGTGTGAGCTGGGTGCAGTCCCAGGCTGAGTTCTGCTCTGGTGAAAAGGTTGAGAGAGAAATGGTCATTGCAGAGAGAGCAGGGAGGGAGCACTGGCGCTCAGGGAAACGAGGTCCCTGGAAGGGGCTCGGTGTGGTCGGCCCCATCACCACTGAATGGGTTGGGAAGGACCGGAGCTGGATAGAGAAGGGAGGGTCCCAGAATCCCTCTGGCAGACAGAGGGCCTCAGCCTCCTGCCCCCGCTGTGGGGGGTGAGGAGGAGAGGGAGGCCAGGCCCAAGACCCAGGACCCCATGAGCTATGAGAGCCTGTAGATGCTCGGCCATCCTGGCAAGATTCTCAGCCCCTAGTGGTTGATGGCATGAGGGCATCTGGTCAGGCCTGCACAGACCCCAGGTGCCCCCAGCCCCCCAGCTGGCCTTGGGTCTGACCTGTTCCTCCTGCTTTAAACTGGACCTTGGCTGTCACTTGCTCCCAGGCAGCCTGGGGAGTCAGGCTCCTTGGCATCTAGGTGCTAACTTGTGACCAGCTCGGTTAGGGGCTGTTGCTCTCCATTATCCGGAGGGACCACCTCACCTGTCGCCTGCACCTGCAGAGCCCAGGGGCCCTCTTCCAGGGCTGGTCAGGTTGGGGTGTGTCCTAAGGGGCACCCCGGACTCTGCTGGGCTCCCTTCTGAATCCTCTGGCCCAGGACACTGCCCTCAGGAAAATGATCCCTGGGGGTGGAGGGGCACACGGGAGTCACCCAGGGGCAGCCTGAGTCTGTGGACTGATGGGAAGACCTGCTGCCCTCCCCTTTGGGGTTCTGAAGGCATGGTACCTCACACACACACACACCCCCGGAGGCTGGGTGGCTTCCAGGCCTTTCCCGAACCACTGCACCTCTCAGCCTCAGTTTCCCCATCTGTGAAGTGGGCCACCATAGTGGATTGGCCCCCAGGACTGTTCTGAGGACAGCCGGTTCCTGGTGGGGCCGCTGGTGTGTGCTGGGTGCAACCCCAGGCTGAGTTGCACTGTTGTGGTAAAAAGGTTGAGAGAGAAACGGTCAATGCACAGAGAGACCTCAGCGTCTTCACGCTGCCTTCTCCCAGGCACATGGAAAAGAAAGTAACTTGATGGAACCAGCCTAGCATCGACTTGACTTTCAAAATATAAGCATCGTGACGCATTACATAAAAGCTGTGCTTTCTGGCGGAGCTGCCCTCCTCCCAGCGCCCGGGCTGATGGTACAGAGCCAACCGCTTCTGACCTCGGAGAAGCAAACCAGAAGGCCCCGCTCCAGGCTATTTTAGGCACGGACTTAAAAAGTAAAAACAGCTGTAAAGTGAAAAGTTTGAGGAACATGCCATTTCTTGGAGTGATGGAATGGAGAAGCTGGCCATCGGGCCAAGCAGCCGGAATCCTCCGCCGGCAGAGCCCGCACCCAGGCCTCAGGCAGCTAGCCGGTCTGGCCGGGCGTGTACATGCTGAGTAGGGTGTCCAGCAGGGCCCCACCACGGGCCTGGGGCTCGGACAGGTGAGGACAGCCCTGTCCTGGCTATCCTCGTCTGCCTGCCCATGTGGTCCTATCTTCCCCCACGACCACCTCTAGGGCCCAGGCCTCGTGGGGGCCGGACACCCTCGCATTCCTCTGCCACCGAACTGCCTGCCTGGAGGTGTCTGGCAGTGGCGAGGACGAAGTGAAACTACCCCACCACGGGCGGAACGTGCCCCGGCTCTCGATAGCCCCCACCCAGGCTGCTGACCCAAAGGGCCCAGAGTCACAGGGTCACCCCGAGGGGTTTATGTCTGAAGACTGAGCTGGGTCCCTCAGAAGGCCACCCCTGATGACAGCCCTTCAATTAGACAGGCTTCTTTCAGCTCCTGCTGACAAGCAGGGTAGGATGTGGGCCCTCTTATGAGCACCCTGAACGCTGCCTCCATCTCCCCATCCCAGGCTCCAGCATGAGGGGAGGGGGCTACCCAGTGCCAGGCAGCCATGAAGGGTCCCACACCTGCCTGCCCTCCTGCCTGGCCAACAGCTCAGGTCCTGCTGTTGCCGCTGGGTTGGGCCCATTCTTATCCCCTCAGCCCCAGGCTGGAAAGGGGCCAGCAGAGGGGTCATGAACTCGGCACCCACCTCACAGTCTGCATCCTGGGCCTCTCCTGACCCTGTGTCCAGAGCTGGGTCCCCCAGAATGCCACCCTGATGACAGCCCTTCAGTAAGACTGAGGCTTCTTTCAGCTCCTCCTGACAAGCAGGGCAGGGTGTTTGCAATGTCGAGGGTCCCTCTCTGGTTTCCGAAGGGCTCTTGCAGGTGCAGGACCAAACAGTTGCACTGGACTGGGCTCACTGAGCAGGCAGGATTCTCGATGGCTCCTCCATCAGCTGGTCACTTGCTCCCAGACCGGGGATCTTCCCACCTAAGCACCGGTTTCCTCCAGTTTGGGCCTGACTGTTGGCCTGTGGCCTCCCATGGGGAGCGGACCCTTTGTCAGAGCCCCAACCTCCCCCAACCAGAGCACCCACAGAGGCCTAAATGTCATCTGCTCCAGGGACACAGTGGTCACTGCTGGGTGGACGGCTTCCTGGCCCATCGCCTCCTGGCAAGTAAAGGCAAGTGGGACGTGAGCACGTGGCTGCCACCAGCATGTGGTGTCAGCAGCACACCACGTCATGGCAGCTCAGAACCCTGGATGGACTTGTTCTTGGCCATGACCGACCCGTGTCCCAGCCCCTCTGATCTGCCACATCATGTCTGTGTGTCCCCAGGTGTTTTGGGCTCAACCTTTCTGGGGGCTCAGAGCGCACACCTTTATTGGGGTCTGGTTCTGGAAGAGCTGCATCTGGGAACCACTTGCTCCTTCACTGAGGACCATCGGAGGTCCATGACGTCATGGGAGTGGCTGGAATGGCTCCGGATGATCCAGAGAAGTGCTGGCCTGGCGGTTGTTTTCCCCACGGAAACAGACCGGCGTGGGTGCTTGGGGACCCCTGCACCCTGATGCAGCTCCTGCTCCTGCAGGCCCTGTGGCTGGGCTTTCTCTCTTTGAGTAACAAAAATGACCTGTGGGGACAGGGTGCAGGGCTGGCTTCCTGGGTGTGGCCTGGGCAGTCGCACCGGACACCAGGCTCAGAGGCGCCCGTGCTTATCTTGAAATGTCTCAATCATTTTTGAACGAGGGGCCACGTTTCCATTTCGCAGCCACATGGCAGGTTCTCCCGGGGACACTGACGTGCAGGGCCAGGAGCACCCGCGGGCACCGTGGGAAGCAGAGGAAGAAGGGGGCATGGTGGGAGGAAGTCAGGCAGAGGGACTCCAGCCCTGGGCCCCAGGAGGGAGGGATCTGCTTCAGTGATCAGGTTGGGTGCCGACAGCCCCTCCGCCCCGGCCAAGTTCCTTGTTCTTCCTGGGGCTTGGAGAGGGGGGGTGTCCCGGAGGAGGGGCTCTGTCCCAGCCTAATAATAACTCCAGCCCCAGCCGCTGGCTATTTTTAGAGTCCCTAACCCAGCACCCATGTGACTCAGCAGGGCCCAGAGCTGGGATGAGAAAGTTGTAGGACAGATGGCTGACATCCAAGCTCCGGCAGCCTGGGCCCAGGGGCATGGACAGGCCAGGCCAGTGGAGCCCTCCCGCCTTGGGCCTCTGGCCGCCGGCATCCTGGGACAGGGGAGCCTGGGCTCTCTGCCCGTCCAGCTCGCTGCTCGGGGCCCCGCCCCCAAGCCGAGCATGGAAAATCTGATGTCAGAATTCCAGCGTCCACAAAGAATGTGGCCTGACCTTCACCTCCCTGAGCTGCATGGAGGTCCAAGGGGGCTGGCTCAGGTCTTCCCCTCCCTGCAAGCTTCCAGGCCCCCTGGGGGCCATCTCCCTTCTCCCTTCCCCAGCCCCCAGTGCAGCCCTGACCCCACTGGTTCTGGCAGTCCCTGCCTGGCACTATGTGCCTGAAGATGCCACCCAGCGAGTCCCAGGCTAGTCCTGCCCCCAGAAACCCGTTCGGTGTGTGCAGCCTCCGGGCCATTAGTTCCTGGCAGGGTTTCTGGAGCAGGTCGTCAGGGCGTCAGGGTGGGCGGAGCAGGGAGGTGGAGCCCTGTCCCAGATCCCTGTCCCTGGCCGCCTGGGTAGTGAGGAGGGCCCGGATCCCCTCCGCTTCCAGGAAGGGGCGGGGCGGGCAGTGGGATCAGCAAGAGAGCTGTGTACAGGCATGTGTGCTCATGTGTTGCTGTGTGTACATGTGCGTGTGAATGAGGTTGTGTGTGCCTGTGGGGGGGGGGGCATACACACATATGCGCACACACATGTTATGTGATATCCTGGATCGTGTGTGTGTGTGTGCATACACGCATTTGTGGGAGCTTTGACCCCTTGGGAGTAAACTGCTGTGTCTTTAGCATTTTCTCAAGTGGAAGCACCCTGAGCCATGTCCCCTCTCCCTACCAGGCACCTTCCTGCCCAGTGGGAGGTTGGGATGGGCCTCCAGCCCCGGGTCCTGAATGTCCCCAGCTCTCCGTGTGGTTGGAGCTGAGCGGGCAGGAGGAAGACAGCCAGCCAGGCCGGCCCCCAGCAGGCACGGTGGCTCTGGGGGGACACTGATATCTGCAGTGGGAGGGGCCTCCTGAATCTAGGAGACCCTGCAGTGAGTGGAGACTGAAGTGAGAACCTGGAGCTGGGGGTATGGATGAACTTGGGGAGCAGATCCAAGACCCCAGAATGCTGCTGGAAGGGCCATTCTTACAAGCCCTGGCCCCCTTTCCTGGCAGGTCCCAGTGACTGTGGGCAGCCGTCACCGGGCAAACACGAGAAGCAGACGCAGAAGAGAGAAGCTGCCTGGAGTGCCCTGCCTTCCACACCTTGCACCCCGTCTGCCGCTGCCCTTCCTCCTCCCAAGCACCCCACCAAGTGTGAGTCACTCGGAGAAGCGGCTCGGCGGGTGCTAACCTTGGATCCACGGCCTCTGGGGTGTCCCCTGCTTGTTTTGTCAGCTTCAAGTGCTAGGATGCTGTTATATTTAGGGAAGAAATTGCTTCCTAAAGATGGATAATAACAGTAAATTATACCTTGTTGATCCTGCATCGTTTTTTTCATCCTCAAAACTGAATGTTATGAAGGAGGGAAAATAAAGTGATTTATAAAAGCCATTTTCTAGAATGGAAAGCATTATGCTGTTTTCCATTAACTTCAAAATCACTTAGAAAAAGGTTTCCATTTAAAATGTCTGGCTGGCTGTGGCCTGCCGCAGACCTTTTCTTAAACCTCCCACTAAATACCCTTCAGGACAGCCCTAACCAGTTTGGTTCAGTGGATAGAGCGTCGGCCTGTGGACTGAAGGGTCCCAGGTTCGATTCCGGTCAAGGGCATGTACCTCGGTTGTGGGCACATCCCCAGTGGGAGATGTGCAGGAGGCAGCTGATTGATGTTTCTCTCTCATCGATGTTTCTAACTCTATCTCTCTCCCTTCCTCTCTGTAAAAAATCAATAAAATATATTTTAAAAATAAAAAAAATATAAATACCCTTCAGGACAGAGAAACTCAAAGACCCACCACACCTGGGAAGCTGGGCGCACACTCCTCCGTGAGGACCCGGCAGGAATGTCCGCCAGCTGCCAGCCTGGCAGCAGTGGATGGGAATTTGATGGCAGCCCCTCTGCTGTCCCTCCACAGCCGAGGGACCTGCAGCCCAGGAAGGAGGGGGCCACCTGCCCGCCCTCTCTCTGCTTCCTGGGCGTCGATGCCCATTGTAAACCCTCCTGGCCCTCCTGGCCGAGGGGGGCCGCTTTCCGAGGCAGCGGTGCTGTTTTCGAGGGGCCCCCTTAAGGCAACATCCCGACCTGCCTGGGGCCAGGAACTTGGCCATGGAGAACCCAATGTTGGGGAGGCCTGGGCTGGGGCTGGGCTTCGTGATGTGCTTCCCTGTCCCTTCTGGCCCTGCTCGGCCTTGCACCTGCAAGGCTGCCTCTGGCTCTCAGAGGCCCGGGGGCTCCTGGTGCGGCCTGGGCAGGCGCTCCGGGTGCAGTGGGTCTGCGGTGGTCCCTGGATCAGTCTCTTCATTGGAACCTTAATGCCTGGGTCCAGCCCCCAGGGCCTGGGGTGTGGCCCGGGGTGT